AGAAAGGCAATGGATTATGGATTAGAACACGGAGTTTCCGAAACTCCGTGGGGATGTTGTGTTCGAATTAAAGCATCGTCGATATACACGAGGCAGAGCCACGCGCATAGATACATAGATTCTTTTTCGTAGCGTAATGCTAGTCAACGTCTTGCTTCCGGATAGAACCAACCACACCGAGCAACATTTGTTTTCTTATGAATAATTCGAGCAACCAGAACACCGGAATAATTCATGATATGTATGTCAACGTAAGAACGTTATAGATTTATAGTAGGATTCGGAAACTCGCTCGTCTCGCGGCAAGCGTTCCTCAGCTTTCTTTTTTTTCCCCACCAGAATCCTCTTTTTTCTTTTTTTTTTTTTTTTGTAAACACGCTTCGATATCGTACGTAACTTCGACTTGCAACTAAATGTAACTCCACTGTCGCTTCTTCTGTCGCGAGAACCTAAAGAGCACGATGTCATTCTGGTATTCGTTCTTTTTCACATCATTCAACCGGCGAACGTTCATCAGCCGCGAAACTGCGTCGTACATCACGTGGACGATGGGCCGCGTGTTCGTCCAGCTGACTGGACGACAGTTCCACGATGTCGCACCCACGATGTAAGCACTCGTTGCCACTAATCCACCCCCGTCAGGCGAAGGGCCAGGAGTTGTCTTGCAATTACGGCTTTCCAAACTGCTGCGCCCAGAGACTACGTTACGCTGCACCGTAACTAATGCTTGGTAATCGTTCGGTTCAGTTCTCACCGTCTCCTGTTTCTCCCGTTCCCAAACTCTCCACCCCGTTTCGAATGGTGGCTTCGCTGTCCCAGCCCTCCCCCTCGAATTGCTCGGCTATTTACTATTAAGCGAAGCGAACGAATGTATCCCTCATTATCGGATCGTTTGTCGCTGCCGCCACCAATCTCTCCCGGTTTTCCGCCACTCGACGCGTCGTTTTTATACCTCATTGACTCGGGAAAGTGGACGATAGGGCTGTTAGAGTAGAAAGGGTGACGATTTTAACCGTATTCAAAAGTATCTGCCTCTGTGGTGAAACATTCGTTCGTGAAAACAGACAACGGAGTCACGACAACAGCAAGCGTAAGGTGAGCTTTCACGTTGAACATAATTTGTCTTTGTAATTTTTCGTGCACGCAGTGTCCTGCGCGTGTCTTTGTGATACAAAGTGAAATTTTTTTCCACCAGGTTTATCTACCAGGGCAGAGAAAGTCCGCGACATTTGCCCGTAAGACACAACGGAACGGCGACTTCTCAACCAACCCTTGTCCAACCTGTACGTTATTTTGGAAATTTCGTTTCACCGCTTTGCAACAACCTCTTTTTTTTTGTATTTTCTTTCCGGAGCGAGATGTGATAAAACAAACGGTTGGAAAAATTTTCACGATATTTCGAAACGATAGTTCGAAAAATTCGTTTATCTGGTCAACTATTCCGGATCACCGGTTCCTCCTTTCAACCGACAGCGTTATCGTCTATAAATGATTTAACAATAGCGGCAGTGACAAGCCGTTTTTTCGCCGTTTATGCTTGAAATTGGCAAATTTCAAGCCGACAACCTGGAGCACATGCATGCCCGCGTGTGCAAATATCCAGGCCGAAGGAGCCGAGAGCGAATCGAATGTGAAACGTACGTTTAGCAATGCAAATTGGCCCGATGCAGCCGCTAGATATATTTTCCCGATATACGTTCGCGCTGTACGTGTGCAACTTACATGCGCCTGCACCGCCGAGACGAGCAAAACCGCCATTCCGACAATCGATATCACCTCTCCTTTGACGCGTATCGCGAGCGATGCAATCCCATTTAATACACAGATGCGACGTTCGCTCACTCATTTCGATGCTGCTTAACTTTGAATGTTGCACTTCGCTGCTCCGATCGATTAGATTATCCGTTTAACGTATTCGATCGTAACTTTTTGAAGAGGAAATCCTCCGAGGAATGAGAGTTCCCTGCTCTTTGTCGAACTAAAGGACGGCATAACTATGTGCTATCAATAAGCAGAAACTTACCTCGTGAAAGCCACGTGGCTCTTTCCATTAAACGTCCGGCGAATTTATCAAATCCGCGCCATTACACCGGCCGGCAAATCGAGAGTTCATCCGACGTTCCGAGACCCCGAACTTGATATTCTATCGGCGCACCAAACTTTCCTTGCTTCCTCTTCGATCGTTGCGCTACAACTACAGCTGTAAGCCTCGTAGTAAACAACTGATAACTGCGATATCGATCAAATTAAAACTTAATTTTTTGTGTTTTATTAGACTGCTTTTTTACTGTTTACGTTCTATTCCTTTGATCGTATTCATTATGAATGCGAGATTGCACAAAGGTCCGCAGTCTACTAACAAGGTCTTCATATTTTTAATATAAATTTTCTTCAATGATTTATAGCGACTAATAACTGAGTGGAAGAGAAAAGTTAATGGATATTATTAGTTTATCAGATTCAGATTTTAATGAAATGACATTTTATATATATTCTCCACCATAAGAACTAATAATGAATTAAATTCAAAATTCCAAAATTTAACAGCGTAATCTTAAATTATTACTGACTTGACGTCCAGCTATTGTTAGTTAAGAATTAAAAACGAAATACAAAGATAAAGACGTTTGCTCTTAAAGAAAAATTAAGCTACAGAGGTGACTCACTTGAAATTGATAGAAGAAAAACACGCGTCTGATACCGAAGATATGATGTAAAAAAAGAGCTCGGGACAGAATGAAATTTTGCGTGATAAACAACTAGGAGTTTCGAGACCCCATGGGTTTCTGCATGAAGCACAAATTGCGGAACATAAATCAACATCAACACACTTCTTCCCTTATTAAAGCCTGATTTTATTTTAAATATATCAATTATTAATAAAAAAGAATTAAAAACTACAAAATTAAATTTTTTTGATAAAAAGAACGCCAACATACTTCTATCAACGTTCTTCATTTTTCACTGTGCAAAAGACTGTTCGCTCTTTTTTTCCCGAGACCGCGGAACAGCATTCGCGGTTGTACAGTTCCGATGCCGTTTCTTTGAAACGTGCAAGTTGAATCTTTGGGAAAATATCCGTGAATTTTACTAACATCCAGTATATATCTTCCGGACAAATGTGACAAAGAGATATTTGCACCATTCGTGGGATAAAGGGCTCTTAAAACATCACCGATTCACTTGTATCCCATTGTTTCAACGAACGATACACATTTTATGGCACAATATTCCCGTGTGCACAGCCGAAACGATATTTCAATCGAGTATCGTTGATGGCATGCTCGATTTATCGATTGATCGTATAATAAAGAAAAAATCTACACGCGTGGGCACACACGACCGAGTAGAAAGAGAAATACGAATCGCATTAGCCTCGAGTACGTATGTAAACACAATTCAAGTGAAATTAATACGCGAGCACAACATTCGAATTACACGTCCGTTTTGCTATCGTATAAAATCACGAGTTTACACGAAGCGTCTACGCGTGTGTTCCAACTACCACGTAAATATTATATTATTACGTTTCTCTACGATGTTTGACCAAACCCAGCAGAAAACAACGAACTTGTAGGCACGTAATCAGCCTGAAAATTAAAGATGCAAAGCCTCATCGGTGACAATGTTTCGCGTTAAACTTGTTCGTGAAACGACTGTGGCCCTCGAGTGGTCGGACGATGGCAGAAGAAAGATCGGAATAAAATGAAGCTTTCTTTATCGATCTGTAGGAGAATCGTATTAGTCTGGCAGAAGTTCGAGAATCAATTGGATTCGCGTACGTACGTGGTGCAAGAACGGTGCAAGAATGAGTGGCAAAGTCGGTGGCCGTTTTCACGTCGTTTCCAACCCCTGCTATTTCTCCCACGGAGCCCTTACTTCAGACAGCCCCCCACCTCCTGGCAACGCTCTGTGACTTATAGACTTTGTTTTACTTAATAATAAAGTTCCGCTGGATAAAGGTAAAGTTGCAAGATAAATGGTACGCCAGCCGCGTACTGAAAAATGATAACCAGAGACTCGCCGCGACACCCCGCTCGGGGAAACACTTTCAGCCCGCGTTGCCCCCGCGCTAGAGAAGTATGAAAATCGTTTATTTCAGCCTCGTGTACACGTTAGACCGAGCGAACAAGACGTTCGATAACGCGATAAAAAAAAAAAGTAGGGGATATTTAAACGAGAAATAAAGCGAGAACGCGATCTAGACGGAAAGAGGAAGACCAGTCTTTCCCGTTCGAAGGTTTAAAAATATAACTAATGTAACTAACTAATGTAACTAACGTTCAGCACACAGACACGCAACTGAGTATAATCTTAAGTTGCAATGGATAGTTTTAACTATCGGGCTAAATAGTGATATTTCAAGGAAAATTTTAATAATGTTTAAATTCTGAGAAAGCCGATAAGAGAATTATGAATATCGTTTGTAAAACAGACGATTTCATGAACGACGTAAATGCAACGTTGTTAAATAGCGTATCAGGGATTAGGAAAGCGTGTCTCGCGTCTCGAGACTTTGTTTCGAAATTCTCCTGCAATTTTCCTTCAAATTGGAATAAATATCTCAGACAAATTAAAGTCTGTTTGAGTTATTAATATCATCGAGTACAGTACAAAATGTAATTGTTTACTACAAATCGTATCGTTTGAACGTTAAAATGCTAGATATCGTACGAAAAATATCTTCGTTTTGTTGTATTAAAATTCATTGTTACACGTACGTATTGCCGCTACGAAAACCTCGATCACAATTTTACTATCTTCCCTCTATCTTTCCAATCGACTCTCGGCATTTCATATCAGCTGGTCTGCTCGTAACTCGAGGGATTCGGACGTCAAACAACATCTTGTCACACACACTTTCAATTTCGTGGTCCCTAAGCTCAACCAAAGTCATTCTTCTTTTTCCACTGTTCTCGCAACATTCCCCCTCCCCCTCCCCGACGTTCGTCCAGTCACACAAAAAACAATTACCGCTATCTACCACCCTGTTTCAGCTGTCACGAAAGAATTACAGCGTCACGCGGACCAGAGGACTGCTGATTCCAAACATAGAAAACTACTCTCGGCTGAAAAATACACAATCGAAGTTTAACAGTGGCGCGAGAAGCACGGCGATTGAAGCTTCCTACTTTCTATTCACCGGCTTCTTTTTGATCGTGCCTGTGTTCAAGGCCCCGTTGCTCGACTCCGCGCTCGAACACTTCTCGCTCTCCTTCCGTTGCAGCGTCGGAATGCTCGACTTGCCATCACTGGCCACGGACATGTTCACCACTTTGCCGCTGGCCACTGCCTCCACCCTATGCACGATTTCCGTCTTCTCGGGATACGGTGGAATGGGTGGCCTCTCAATTTCGCCGGGAGGTTCTTCCCTGCGTCTGGAAAACGACGGAATCCTCGTAACCTTCGGCTTCTCCTTCAGGGGTGGCTTCTCCCTCTGCTCCGCCAACTTGTCCCTATCGATACTCTGGCAGCTTTGCTCCGGAGGCGGGATAGCAGACACTTTCGGAATATTTCTGTGATCCCTGGTCCTCTGCAGAGTTGATGTAGGTTTGATGATAATTTTTGGTTGCTTCAAGTTCGAGGACGCACCCTTGGCGTCCCTCGCTGTAATTATTATTCGCGGTTCTTTCCGTTCTTGGCTGACGATATTTGGCGATCTGGAATCCGGACAGGCACACGAACCTAACGAGTCTGATTGCAATTGTTCCGTCGAGCTTGCATTAGATCTACCGGACGTGTTCGATTCCAGCGGAGCGGCGAGTTTCGCTTCTCGATGCAGCTTCTCGTCGGGAACGGTATCCGCTAGACTCACCACGACTTGACTTAAGTTCTGGTTCGCCTGTTCCAATAGATTCCCAACTCTAGGTGTGATGACAATCCTTGGTTCCACGCCGACGATCCGCGTGTCCCAATTCGAGCCCCCGAATTCAGGCTGTTTGTTTGTTTCTTTGCCAGTGATTCTTGGTTCCGACGACGCTGTCGCCATAGAAGTATCGTTCCCAGACGGAGAAGATTTGTACCAATTAGGATTGCCGATCCCCGCCTCCAGCAGGGCAATCGGGTTTCCTATGTTCTTGTCTACGCTGTGGGAGATCGGCTGAATCGCCTCTTGCACGCAAGATACGGCATTTGAATAAATAGTGTCGACGCTTCCACCAGCCTGCGACCTCGTCCTGTCTACTCTGTCGTCCAGAGAGTCGATGATACTCGGGTCGGAATTGTTCTTCGTCGTGTAATCTTGCCTTCTGAGCAACGTGCCAACATGGAGATTGGTAATGACCGATTCCGGCTCGTGCTGGTGCTCCTTCTCCTCTGCAAACTCGAGACTCTTGGACGGGCCAAACATCCTCGGAGGAGGTTGAGGTGGCTGATGAGAGGACGAGGACGAATGCATTCCGCTCCTGTAATCCTTCAACGAACCAACATGCTGCTTGGACGCAAACAAGCTGCTCGGCGCCGGGAGGGACCGTCTTTTCTCGATGTCTGGCAGAACTTTCGGGTAATTTCTGCGCTTGATCGTCCTCAGGGCTTCCTCCGGGCTGACGCACTCCCTCTCTGCCACGGGTTCCCTACAAGTCACGTTTATATCGCAACCTGGCGGACTGTTCACACCAAACGTAGTTAACTTTGGCCCCATCTTCATGTAAATCTCCTCGGTCTGATCTATCGTCGATCCATCAGGATTCAGCTCGGGACGAAGCAAACGGGACTTCAACTTCGGATTGATCTTCGCGTAAAGACTGCTGGCGCTACCGGAATCGGACTCGTATATCCTGGGCGTGGAGAAATTCGGCTTCACGCTCTTCAACACGTTCTCCATTGGCAACGGGTCGCTCTTCGAGTGATGGTGCTCTATGACAACCACTTGAGGAGCTGTCTGTAACTGGCTGAAATTGATCGTGGGATAGTCGACGTTCTTGTCGAACGTGTCGTCCGGTTCGACGACCTTCGCCAGCTCGATAGGCACCTGGTTCAGAATCGATTCGGTTCTGGTCGCGGGTGTGGCGTCAATGGCTACGGAGACCTTTGGGACCTTTGATTTCTTGCCAGGGCGTACAACCAGCGTCGGACCTTTGTCGTAGATCGGCTCCTCTTTCCTTTCTTTCGATAGTGCTTCTTCCAATCTCTTCTTCTCCACTTCTTGTTGTTTCGTCAGTTTGTCCTGGTGCTCTTTTTGCAACGTCTCACGCGTTTTCCTTAAAAACCTCGGGGAACACCTTCGCCAAAACAAACACGTTTGATAAATCGATACTTTTTGCAAGTGACGTTTTATTGATTATCAAGTGTACAAATTAATTCGTCTTTTCGCAAATTTGTTGTTTATTTATGAAAGTCCGAAGTATTTTACATTTAGCCTGGAAAATAATCTCCATCGATTTGTATATATTTATTTTATAACTTTCGAATCTTCTCTATAAAAAAGATGATGGCTTTGAATGAAAAAAATTTTAACTTTCTCAATTGTTTCAAAGTGCAAATGTTTAAAGTTATCGAAGAAAATGGTAATTTGAAAAGCTGCGTGAATGAGAAGTTTGTTGCTACATATGACCGTGCAATTTTCGATTGAAAAATTCTGATTGTCGAACGACATTATAATCAATATTGCTTTTTTAAAATTGTATAATTAATATGATTTCAAATCTTGGCATAAAAGAACCTAAACAAAATTTCAATTTAATTAAAATTTATTTAGATTTATTTTGTCTAAGTTTATTTTTTTACGAAAAAATTTGCATTCATAAACAATTAACAATTAACAATTTGAATCTTAAAATATTCGTTCGTTCTGAAGTTTCGATGCAGTCGCAAACAAATGAAAATGAACTCGTACCACTTTCTGTTAGAACAAAATTAATTACGAAAGCCAAGAATAAATTTGTACGCGAGAAGAAATAATTTTCCAAAACTTTTCGCGACTGATTTCCGTCAAAGGGTAAAACTACTCCTAACTATCGCTAAGTAAATTTCGATGACACGGAATCGGGAGTGGAAAACTGCCGTAACCAGCATTGGTTTCGATGAATCAGCTCGCGTCTTCAAGCGAAGTCATTGATTGAACTAACCAAGAGTCCGACGGATTTCTGAGGGGCTCTTACTCGATTCTGTCTATTTGTCGAACTATTCACAGGGACCGTTTTCTAATTGATTCGTCCGTAGGACGAACTCACCTGATCGTACCCACCTGTGCACGATCTCCTGCTGTATCCATTCTCTAACTTTGACGTGCGTGTCGATAGTGGATCCAGAGTTCTGTCTGGACAATTTCGAGCGTCTGCCAAAGTTCGAGTTGTTGTCGTACGCCTTGTCGTTCTTTATCACGTCGTTCAGATCCGGCTTGCTATCACTCTTGTAACCTAGCTCTCCGTAGTGATTCTCATACTTGTCCGATTTCGCCCGTTTCGAGTCCTCTTTCTGGCTGGCGCGTCTCTTCACGCCTGTCCCTTTCGATTTTGCGTCGTGCTTCTTGCAGTACAAGTAGAGGAACGCCGTGAAATTGATCAACAAGAACACCAGGCCGAAACCGGTCAACATAGTGACCACGGAGGAACTTTTCGGCGCGCTTGGCTGTGGGATCACTTCTTCGTCCGATTGCGAGGAAGTTGTGGAGTCCGGAGTTGTCGACGGCTCGTAACGATCGTCGGCCTTAAATCTGCAAAGCGAAAGGTTTATTTGCTTCGTCGCGGCGATGAATCGCGAGAAGGGGAAACGTTAATTTTTACGGCTGCAACACGGAATCGTGTGTGAGCCTGGAAAGTTTCGGGAGCTGCAGCTGTTTGCACGGAAGCTTCCGGCAGGGATAGGAAACTTGTGTCGTTGCAGGGGAACACGCGAGTTTAGACTGAACTTAGTTGGGTAGTTTCTCAGATTTGTACGGCCTTGTACAGATATTCATAGACGGATTTCGCGAGTAATTCGATAAGGTGTTAAAATTTAAGCAGTTACTTGTCTGGAGGGATTGAATCGTAGCGTTTGTTTATATTTGTTGAAAGTGCGGGTCAACGTGCTGGTAGGTTGAATTCTTTTCAGGATGTTAACACACAAGCTCGCTGAACCGGAGTGAAATTGAAACTTGAAGTGAACGAATGTTTTGCCCCGTTGCGCGCAAGTTTGAATAAATTCTATTCAACTGGTATAATATGGACAATTTAAGCGGGCCGGGACAAGCAAGAAAGCAGACGCGATAGCGTGCAAGTGACGTTTCATTAAATGTTTAGCATACGCTTGAAAAACAGTCTCGAGATTCCTGCTTATATAACGCCACGCGAAAATGAATTGCGTTTAATTTTTCAATTGATATCCGCGCTGAATTTTCCAGGGGGAAAAAAGCAGGGTATAAACGAGCGCGTTGTCGATTGAAAGTTTTAATAATAATTTTGTCATGTCATTAGCACGCTCGTTAATTATCGCGTATACAAGAATCTTTGTAATTCAATGAAATTGTTCTTTAAAAATTCAATCATAAAATATCAGATCACATTAAAAAGAAAGAAAAGAAAAGAAACGAGACTGATCTCATAATTCGAAAACAAAAATAAGAAGAGGACAGATAAATAGTGATGAATAATATTTTAACTAGAGACAACAGAATCTTTAAACTCAATCTCTTTAGTTCAAATATGAGTCAGAATTGAACAGAACGAATTTTTGAAACACGACAACGGACTCGCCTACAACGCGTTATCTGACTGTAAAACAGTTTTTGGTTGATGAAAATGTCTTTCAACATCCAAAGAAAAGATCAGTGTTCAAGGAATCCATCTTGCATCGTAGAAAACAAAGGGAAAGCAAAGGGACGAAAAGGAAATTCTCAACAATATTGCAGAACCTAATCGACAAAATTGTACGCAACTGTGTGTTAAAAAAAAAAACTATTTTTAAGATGATTGTCTCGTTTTTCCCACTTCCTTCTTACAATTCAATGCAAAGCCTCGTTACAAACCTGGAACCATAGGTGTCATATTCTCTGCTCGCATTCGCGTACTTTCCGATCCTATCCGCGATGTCGAGAATCTGCGGCCTCGGTCCTTTGGGTCGAATCGGCAACGATGCTCCTTTACCGGGAGGACGAAGCAAATAAGGTACGTCCTCGTTCCAAAATTGCATCTCTGCAGATCGATAACACCTGTTGGTGCTCGGTGGGATCGCTGTATGAATTTGCAGGTCGTACATTCGTTTAATCTAATTTTCATTGATCAATAATTATCATTGTTATTCAATTATCATTGATCAATAGTTAATTAATCATTGATCGAATCGTTAATCAGTGATCAAGAAAACAGTCTCGTGATCAACAAAACTTACTGAGATTAAGGTAGGTCTGATTTTGAGGTTCGTACTCGGGCCAATCGATATCGTACTGGCGCCATTCCTTCGGACCATCCGTCAGGTAAGGATATCGCTTCGCGATGTTTGGATTCCTAATTTACGAATAGTAATTGAGTTATTGCAAAAACTTTGAAGAAGAAGAAAGGAAAGGAAGCGGGATTCTTTAAACTTTTTTTTATTTTATCTATTGTTATTAAATATTAACATTGAATATCAACATATTTCTATGTTACCTCAGAATATCATAAAAAACAAATATTGCATAAAATTGTGATATTCATTTGTTCATTCAGATAAGAGAAGTAACTCAACACTAATATTCGTCCCCTAATTTGTCCATGTAAATTTAATTGCTTGTTTACATTAAAATTTCACGAATGTACCTTTCAACAAACAAATTCCCTCGATTACTGCAGATGACAAGGCACATTATTATCTTGAATTTCGCAACGCGTTTTCAAGAAACAGTGCGTGAAATAGAGCGTGAAGATACACAAAGGTAAAGCATTTTTACCAATGGAATTACAAGCTCGTCGGTCGTTCTCGCAGCAGAATCGGAATCGAATTCCAGACTGAAAACCGAAATTGCGATTTCGCGATGTTTTCAATAAAGTCCCCGGCAGGAACCGAGTCCAGCAGTGCATTTCCAGGTACTCCTGCCCCGACACGCGCAAAATGATATCGTATATCCACGCTTGGATATCGGAAAACCAGTCCAATATCGAAATTTTGATACACGGTAACTCTACTCCGTTTCTGTGACGCGATACTCGTACGTTCGAAGGAACTTCTGCCTGAAACGTGTATCTCAAAGAGATCGAGAGATCGAGAGAGAGAGAGAGAGAGAGAGAGCCGATCGACGAACACCATGACTCCTGTCTTGAAACGGTTATGAACGCAATTTTACCGTTCACGGCCGAACGTTCCTTTTCTTCTATGATTTTTACGCGAGCATAAAGTTCACCGATCGAACCTGACAACCTGGACGAAACGTCTCCGACAGCCGGAGAAATATTTCTCCAAACATGGATTAAATCTACCGATAAGGAACGGAATTCGAACCGTATCGATCGTACACCTGTCTCGGAACGAAATTGCGAGGCTTGAGAATCGTTTCCGTAAAAAGGTTCTTCCTCACTCTTATTGACTGTGAAATAACGCAGGGACGCACCACGCCCTTCGTTTAAACGCACGGGTGCAACCATGGGAAATATATTCTTCCAAGGAGGCGTGACACAGTGTCACGCGCGATATCGATCAGCCCAGCGTCAGTTGCGAAGTTGTGCGGAACACACGTGGTATCTACTTACTTGGGCCGCCACCGCGTGCATTAAACAGCTTTGTTTCGCTTAATTGGATTGACCTAGTTGCTTGTGATCCGCCACCATGTCGCGATGCATATGCAATTCTGTTTTCGACGAAAAAATCACGAGCTTGCTGCAGAAAGTACACGGCCCCGTAGCTTTAAATCTCGTCTCGAAATCTGAATTGTTCCAAATTTCTGCTTCAAGACTACACGTAGATTAATAGGATTGCGGCTGTCAAAAATTAAAAGCGAAAGAAAAACAATTCAATTTTTTTAATTTATGCAACTCTTTAATTTCTTCAGTTTGCAAGAAACATTTCGTTTCAGGCAGGACGAAGAAACTTTCATTTCGCAGGTTAAGTTATTTACGCTTATTACCAACGGAACAACTTTGTGACATCACAGTGAAAACATTTTTCTCTGCGTAGTTTGCGAAGGAGAATGTAATGTGCCGTTTGTCTTTAAATACTTTCTTCATAGACACGACAAAAATCGCGAACTTTCCCTCTCCGACTGAAATTTCAACTGCAACGAGCCATGCATTCTATACAAAACCATCTTTAAGCCGGAAGATTGAACTGGTTGTAGAGGGAATATCATTGATTCAGTCGATTGTGTTCGTTGTTTCCAAGGAGACTAAACAATCGCACGATGTGATATCGATACACAGGATCGTCGATACGAAAACGCCGATAGAGGCGTTTCACGTAGCATGAATCGACGAAACAAATAAAAAGGACGACTCGGTATATTGCCTGCGGAGTTCGTTTCCGAAAATTATCTCCTGACGCGTGCGATGAAATACGAGAGAAATTTCGTGCTTTCAAAGATAAAACAGTGGAATCGATTGGCTCCCCAGTCCGGGGAGAGCCACCATCCCTCTGCTTGAAATGAAATGTGCCGGTAATTTGTATATATAGGTAATCTGCTTGTATCAAGAAAATTAAAATGGCCAACCCATCGGGTCGTTAATTCACCAATAACTGGTGTCGAAATAACGAGGGTCAAATTGCAGTCGGCCAGTTTTTGTCGAATGAACCGGGATCGTGTTGTGGCTATATTTCAGTTCGATGTTCCATTTCTGTCGCGTGGCAATTTTGAAGAAATTTTCAGGCGCCTGTCTCTTTTTAATTGATTCCCCTCGATTATTTTCAATGAAAAGGAGCTTGCCCCTTTCGAATGCGCTACGCACGCAGTTTCGAAACGAATTGCGAAATCTCGTATTTTCGTGAGATCGATCGCATCATGCTGTGTATTTATTTTCTCATAAACGTGGTAATCTACGTGTGCATTCCCTTTGAAGTGCACCGAAATTAGAAATAGCTCTCTCAGAATTAGAGTGGAAACGATCGATGGAACGGAAAGATTGATCATCCGCCCCTACTTAGAAACCTCCAATTTCCACGATATCATCTCGCCGCCGAATATGCACATTTTGCACCACGAATATTCGTGGTCTCGGTTGATACAACCGAATGATCCTGCGAAAAGATCCTGCTACTTTCTCGTATGCCAAGTCTAGCAATGAGAATGCAGAATAACACACGCACGAATAGTAAACAACAGAAACGATCGAAGGCTGGCGATTACTCCATTTAACCTACGTTTTAATTATCACGCTCCATTTAACCGGTGCACGTTTTAATCATCGTGATTTACGGCCTATAGATTGAACTTTCCCCCCGTTCCGGGACAACTCTATCAAAAAAATGAACGAAATCGTCTGACGACGATTCTCCGGCGATCATCAAGGACTGGAATTTGAAAATCTACTTGGGATATTCGACATAAATTTCACCTTCAATGTAAAAATTCAATGAAATTGAATAGAATGCTGCTGAAAATCCGTCGAATTGTTGACAAACCGTTACAAATAATGGAAATAGATGTATACCTTGGCAATAACGGCACGATGCAAACTTTGTCTGTAATGCCACTGATTAAGATTAGCCAATTCGAATGGAGCTTTCGTCCATTTCCATTATTAAGTAATAAGTTCAAAAATGAACGTAAAACCTGCCGGTTTCGCTTTGACTGGCTATACGAAAAATCTCGGGCAGTTTTCAAATAATCAAAATATCGCGACACGATGCGCGACTACGAGAGATGCAGAGAATTTTATACGAGGTTCTCTCTCGAAATTCATTATCAACCGACCGACGGGAAATAGACTGACGCGCTTTCAAACGTGATTTTCAATTATACGCGTCTCTGGATATTTATGTTTAACCATTTCCCGTTACTACGCCTGTTCGTGAGACTTGTAATTATTTTTCCAAATAGATTTAATCACGACCCTGCTAAATCTCTCTGATGCTCGTTTCTCGTGCCGCGAATAGTCGCAACGGCCGTTTCGGCGATTGGCGAGAAGCATAATTTCCACTGGAAACTTTATACCGTTTTATTTCACTCGATTTCAAGGGAAATCTCTGCAGGAGCTCTGCCAGATAGATAAAAATGGCGGGAACCATCGCAAAGGAACGAACAACCGAAAGATTCTTTCTTTAATATTCCTTTGCTCCTCTGTGCTCTTCTATGTACGGATGTTATGTTTTTCAATGAAATGAATGTGTAATTTTTCGAGCATGTACACACTACGCTCGTAATAAATACGCGTTTTAATGAATATGAATGTCGTTAAAATATATAAATTAATGAAAATATTTACTTTCTCGTAGAATTAACGAGTAATGAGTAATTTGTCGACCAACTTGTCGTCTAATTTGTCGACTAAAATTCAAAACATGATGTATCTATTAAATTTAAAAAAAAAAACTTTTTCTATCCGAGCTCTACTTCGCTAAGATAATTAGCGTTTGATATCTTTTATAATACATTTCATCAAATTAAATCAATAAAAATCGTTTTATAACGTGTGTCACTCTTGCTCGCATTTTATTGTATATGTATATATATATATTCATTATTTGAAGTAAATTTTTTCAGGTCATAACAATATATTATAATAATATTAAATGTAGCCATTATTCATCAATATGTTATTTTTGTGGCTCTTTAATTAAATTATGTCCTATTTAAATTCACGTCAATCTGAATTTTTGACCAGTGATGTAAATTTACACATTTTTAAAATCAGAAAACCTCAAAAAACGCTTAATGTTTCAATTAATATAAACCTGGCCCTACCATAATAATAATTTGTTTTTTATTGCTTTTATTTTTAATTGCTACGTTCATTTATCGCTTTTTCTCTTATATGATATATATTCTATTTCCTCAGCTTTGTACTCTTCTGTACCAAAGGATTAATCCTCTTTAACTAATAAATAAATAAACAAATAAATATTTCATCAGTTACGTTTACTTGTACTACCAGTTTATTTTAAATTTTTGAACGATGCAAGCACAATGTAACACAGGAACAACTTACCCCACGTACGCGAAGCTACACCACCAGTTCATCATTGCTTCGGAGAAGAGTATTTCGCCGATATTGTATCGGCGACGCTGGTCGTATTTGCTGCTGTCGAGAGGGACGCCGAGAACGTAGGGCAGTTCCTCACCGTGTACGGTGCACTGACGTTGTTGCTGCAAACATATAACAGCGTCTGATTCGAAATACTTTGCCGGCCGGCAACAAAGTTCTCGCTAAAATTTCGCGATCCAAAGGAAAGGTCAAGTGAGGCCTTCTCCATGAAACCGCAGCCATTGTTATTAACTTCCGTTTCACTGCGTTGTGCTTTTAACTCCATCGACCTCGTTGTTATTCCCCGTTCCGGATGATCGATACTATCCGATAAGTTCGTTCTTCCTGGACGATCGCGGTCAACGATCCCGATGAATATATTCCAGATGTTGAGGGCAGCGAGTCCGCATTTTCGGTGAAATACCGAGTTGCGAGAAATACTGTAATATTGTTCACTATTTCGATGGACCAAAGTATGTAAGAATTGGTCGGAATCACAAGCTGTATAGTAACTTGTCAAAAGTTTGAAGAATCTCGTACTGAACTCTTGCGTGGAAATTGACAATTGAAAAATTCAAAGGAACTTGAATAGTGATCGAGTTGAAAAAATATCCTACAACTTAACCTGACAATTAATTAAAAAAAAAATTGACCTTTTACTTTAGAAAACCAAAGTCTAGTATCAGCAAAGTTTTATCCGAAGTCTAGTATCAGCATATTTTTTTGCTGAACTTATTTTGTCAATTAAAATCTAAAGCATATTTCTGAAGCACATGTTTGTGCATTCCTTCTTTTATACACTCCCTTTAGAGAAATTATCTTCTAGATTTTCAGTGTTGCTAATTGTAAACAAACTCAGCCAATGTTCACTGACAATTGGACCTACGTGATCGTAGCCAGAGTGTCAAACTGCCTGGATCTCGGTTCTGATCTGTGCTAGAACCATCTCAACAAACAATCGTTGAACTAATTGTAAATGTCCTGACACAAACCAAGTCTGCTCATCTACGTAAGATTCGATCACTTTCTTGCGATACTACAGATGAATGTATTATCCCGAAATCAAGCAGAAGCTTTAATTTTTAGTTTTCACGATCGATCGAGATACATCCCGCGATTTGTCGTAAATTTTGTGAGCACGTTGCTAAGAAAGGCGATACGATAGCATTCCTGTTTTGCAGTCTCGAGTCCATCAATTGCAAATTGCGCACCTAACTGCGAGGTGGCCAAGCTTGTAAATTCGAGCAGAAACTTCGTTACATTCGGTTTAACGACATCAGGCGGTCACTGTCCTTCTTGGACAGAGCGTAACAGGCTGGTACGCAACGCCGATAAAAATAATTGGACGACGTCCAAATGGGCCCCATCGTAACCGGGATTTTTCTCTCCGTTCGCGCACGACCGACCAACGAACAGTCAGTAGGTCATACTTCCCGTTTCCGCCAAGGAATCCGCACGCTGCCGGAGGAAAATGAATAAAATGCAAAGCACATCGTCTAATCGTACGTGCTCCAGTTTTCACGAGAGGAACAGCCCCAGCGAATTTATGCGACTCCTTAATATTTTTGTCGACTTCCTGATTCTTGACCCGGAGGAATTTGTCAATCTAGACAGTGATGCGCCATTGTCGCCATCTTTTTTCGCTGAAAGCGCGAATCTTGTATCTTTATCGAATTCTAACTGCTTCGTGGAGCTTCGACGCATCGTTTGAGTATTCAGAGGCAAAGAAGCTCAAGAGACACGGACGAAGCGAGTTGAACGAAGAGCTATGGAAATGTTTCGTCATTTTTAAGTGACATAGACGGTGTAGTTAATTGTGAAAGTGCTTTCAAGGGCGTACTTACGCCGGAGTACTCCTGCATCGCTTTCGGATGCGAGAAGACGTACATGTAGCTCTTCGGATTCGCCCTCGAGTGCAAATTCGCGGTCATAATTAATGGCGCGACGGTACCGCTGTCAGATAGCGCGTCTAGAACGAGATCCCGATTCTTCAAGGTGTAGTCGTTCGTGAAGCCGGAGAAATCGCCGTATTGTTCCAGAATCTTCGACAGAATTAGCTCTGCTTCCAGTTCGTGCGTTGCCTGCCGACCAAGAAATATCGCGTCACTTTGTTACTCGTACGTCGGCTGAATTTCGTTGGATTCAATATCAGCTAGCATGCAAACATTCCTATCTCCGAGACTCCGTTCCTCGACGATACATCAATTTCTCTTCCCAAATAAATCGCGATCAAAAGCAGTTCTAATTGACAATCGAGAAAATTAGCAAAAAGCGTATTGACGATTCGATGGCGTACCTTGGCGTGTTCTCGTAAAACTTCATCTCTCTGCACGTCCACCATCCCGTGTAGCAACGCTATCGGCGACAAAATATGAAACTTCTCCGATTCCGTGACGCCGTACATCAAATCAAATCTGTTCAACAGGTTTGGACAACAGTTATTCAAACAGTTCTCCCTCGTAAAAAAAAAACACAAATCGTACAAAGAGCAAGTGAAAAACGAAACGTTTTTAGTTTCTCGACTTTGAGATACGTTTCTCACTTTGCTTTGGTGCAAAAAGTAACATTATTAAATTATAAACTACAAACCGTAACATAAACTACAATCAATTCCAAAATCAAAGAATCAAATGCAGACGATTTCATTGATTACTTATTAAAACGTGTATGTATACTTATCATGCATAAATAACTGGGATATTAAAGATTCGACAACGACAATTACAATCAGCGAATATTCCTCTTGATTCCTTTGTTAATTTTCAACATTTTACTACAACTGAGATCAAATGAATTAATGGAATATAAATTCTGAAATACGAAATATATCTACATCGCTCAAGTTTCATATTCATTTCCAATAAATAGCTTTAATAAATATAGCTTAGCAATAAATAGCAAGGAACACATGATAAAATTTAAGTAAGCTTTTTGCAATGTGATAAAGAATATATATCTCAATCTATTTGATATCTCAACATTAAACGAATATACTTCAAATTGCTTGATTTAATTAATGTAAGATGTTTTGCAAAATTACTGCTTTTTTGTTTACACTAATTGATATTAGGTATTCCACGAACTTTAAAACGTTGCAATTAAATTCAGAAGATCCTAAGATTTAAATTGTATTACTACTAGATTATTGTCCAGATACTTATGCATAAATAGCAGATTAATCTTTGCAACCGCGACACCTACCTGCCAAATAGCTCAGAGTTTTTCATCAGATTTAAAGGCTTATCCGGGATAACCACATTGTCAATTAACGGCGCGAATGCTGGGACGTAATTCGGCTTGTGGATCTTCACGTTCAGCAACGTGCTTACATCTTGGCCACGTAAACACAATGCCAGGTCACTGTCAGTCGTGGTGGGACAATTGAGGGCGTGCGCCACCTGAAAAATGGTCCAGACCGTTCTTCAACGACATCCAATCAACATTCCCTCTGTCTACTGGAATCACCGCCGCTGGTCGTGATGATGAAAAACGATATTTCTTCCTTTGCTAGTTCCAATCGCAATCGCAGCCTTCTGTTCTTTTATTTTCGAGCAGGAACTAGGCGAAACGTACAGTATGAAACGCGACTCGTTTGCCCTTAGCGAGAAGCATGATATCGATCTTCTGTCGACAAGATGTCAGACACGTCGAATTAAAATGTACCTTTCGCCATGAGTCAAACATCGGCCTGCTTACTATACTTTCACTTTTTTCGCATTTTGAAGCAGTCAATCGACGAGCGACGTAAGTCCAACATTAGGAGAAATAAATTTGTCATTAACGAGCACTAATTATACTTCATTTATTAATTAAAACTTGCGTATATTTTACTTCATGTTAATAAAAAAATAAGAGTTGATTAAACGTCCCGCTGTAATTGTAAGCAAGAAGTTCTTGGCACATTTTTCCATTTCGTGTTTCGTCGAGATTGATGTACCAACCTGTTTGGTGATTTGTAGGGGCGCTTTCCCGATAGCATCGGCGCTTAACGCTGATCCAGACATCAGTATAGCTCGTTTGAAGAGACCTGCGAAAGATGGAAAGACGATTAATGATCGGACTCTCTCGGGATCGAACTAGTAGCTACTTGTACGCGAGAAACGTTAAGTTTTTCATTCTATAGTATAATTATTGATCGAACATCATGGTGCAATTCCCTTCGGCTTGTATCGCCGCTGAAAAATGATCGTAGTCTTCATTTTCTTCACTCACTTTTTCCTCAGAAGGGTTATTCTTCCCATCAGCGACTTTAAAAAGAAATATACAAAATCCTAGAATCTCCATTCAATTATAATCTTGAATGATATCCGTGCTTGAAATATCTGACTGTAGATTGTTTCTACTTACAAGGCACATTTGTGTCAAATTGACCAATTAAGTCGAATGATCCGTTTTGTCGAACGAATCTCATATCCTCGTGAAATTATGTCTTCAAAAGGAACTGAATAATTTTTTAAAACGCTACATTTAGTTTACGATTACAATCAATCTTTTTTCTTTTTTTTTTTCTTCTTCCTCATGAACATGGTTTCTTTGATCTTAAAAGTAACGTTCAACGTTCGCGTTTTAAAAATCGAAATCTGTACTCGATGATCTTTATCGATTTGAGGAAAATGGCGGTTACATGTAACTCCCACAAAAGTGTTCTCTTAATATTCAGGCATCGCAAAAGTCGCAAACACGCAACACCGCAGTAATAGTTACCTTTCTTATTAGCCACCGGGCTGATAAGCAGCAGGTTAGCAAAAATGGCACCGGTACCATGGCCGACGAGCGTTATGCTGTTTGGATCGCCACCAAAATCAGCGATGTTCTCTCTTAACCAAAGTAACGCTGCTATTTGATCCAGCAACCCGAAATTACTCGTCGTATCGTCTCTGATTCCAGGTCTCAAGAAACCTGCAACGAAACGTTCATTATTGAATAAATAAGTTATAATCAAATTGCGAGTTATGATCATAATACATTTAGGAGATTTAAATGTAACTAACAGAATACAAATAATATGAGAAAGTATATAAATATTTAAATTAAATAATGCTTTTCATAATATGCATACGTAAAACAATTTTTTACCTTTTACTAGATTTTATTTGTTTATCACATTCTCAAAAATATGAATTTGCATAAAATCTGCAATCATTATGTTCTGTTACAGTTAATGAATAAGTTCACTTACTATCAAAGAATTTTTGTAAAGTGCGTATAAAACACAGTGTAATATGATTGTCATAATACTTGTCACATACTTGTTGTACATTTTGAAATTAATGTGTATAGTAGCTACAAGATATTTCTTGTAAGCATATATTCAATAAAAAATTAGCATATAGCATAGATAACCATCTTAAGCGTATAATAAATTTGAATATACGTATAGTTTCAATATTGTGATTATTTTGAATAATATTGTACATTGAATATTTATTAATATAATAGACAACTGGCTGTTTAAATGTCAATAAAACCTCTTGTAGTTTTTTTTACCAATATATCAGTCTAATTTTAAGATGTTTTATATAACACAAATAATGTATTCATAAGAAACTCCAATAAATACTTTAACCATCGAAATTACTAAATATCACAATTTTCCTATATATAAAATTTCATTACATAATTCGTTCAATATGCAAGATGTCACGTATCAATCGTAACCATTCAATATCGGAACAGCAAGAAAGACCTTACGTTCGTCCCCCCTTTTTAAAAAAAATTTTTCTCCAATTTGAAAAAAAGGAAACGTTTTACTCTACGCCTACATTCTCCACCAAACCATCAACGCGGGACATAAAGCTGGTCGGCACAACGTGCCTCTTCTTTTTGTTCGCACGAGCTTGCTCGTTATCCATATTTTTCCCCCCGTTGTTTTGCAAAAGGCTGAAGTTATCCGGACCTCTCGCGAACTGTAGCCGACTACGGGAAGAGGGTGAAGTTAACTAAGCGCCTTCCCAGCACTTTAACCTAATTTATGATTATGGTTTCGCGGCTGCTTCTTTGTTTTTTTTCCTTTCGCAGTGCTCCCTTTTTTCTTTTCTTTACCCCTTCCATCGCATTCGTCGGACGTGGCAGCGCAGCTCGCGCCACCGACGTCCGTCCATTTGCATCGCGCGCTCGGAGGTCGCGTTATCATTTTAGGAGAAACGCTCCCTGTGTTGCGAATACCCAGCTGCAGCCGGTGGGCCGGGAGCAGAGCTGAAGAAAATAGAGCAGACCACGGGAAAAAACGGTGAGGATCGATGGAAGTTTTCGGGGGCAAAAGGGTCGCCTTTGTCTCGCTGCCGAGCCTTTTTGCTCGCAGAAAAATTTTCTTCCCTCCTGTGTAAGAACGAGCTCGAAACTTTTACGTTCCCCATTTGTTTCACCTTTGCGGTTCCCTACGGCCGGGTAACAAATTGATGAATTATTCTCACAATAACTGCTACCTACTTGACTATTAAAATTGAGAAATAAGAAATTTTCATTGAGTCAATCTTCTAGCATTATATATGCAATACGAAAATACGTGTTTTTCGTGATATCATGTATTTCTCCTTTCCTCTAATTTCTGACCACGATGTACACACCTTCTAAATTACTTAAGTTTTAAACACGGATTAAAAATCACAGGAATTGTTATTTCAAGAACAAACAATTATCATTACGATGTGTTCCCTTCTCTACAGATTTCATCTGATACATTTTATCCTATTTCCA